TGTGGATCCAGATGACAATGGTGGAGGTGGTGTTGGTGCAGAGGATTTGGAGCATCCCTGGCACCTCAATCCCAAGGTAAGGCAGAGGTTTTAGCAACTAGAGAACATGCCGTGGTAGCGTACCGCCAATTCCTTTTCCAAATATTAAGGCCCATACTGTATGTCAGGGCTGTCTCTATTCAAAAAACCTTCCACAACCCCAGAACACCCTGTAAAAGGCCCTAGTTGTTGATGTAGACCGCTGCTGATAATCAGGGCCTAAAAAGGGACCCTAATTTAGAGAACTGCCCTTGTAACTCTTCACCTAAGCCTCTGATGACTGATTTCAAAGCCTTTCAAGCCACTATATAGGAGCTACCTTAACCGCAAATAACCTACTTTCTTGAGGACTTATAGGGGAACCTTAATAAAGAACCCTACAAAGGCAGGTTGTTTCGGGTCCAGGTAGGGTGTCGCCTGCCACCCTAAACCCTAAATGCCCTAAACCCTAAACCCCTAAACCCTAAACCCCTAAACCCTACCCCAAACCCCAAACCCCCATAAACCCTAGGAAATCAGAGGAGGCGCGCGATGGCCAGCGGAGCAAACGGCTTGAGCTCTATCCTTTCCTCACTTGACTTCGCGCGCACTGCATATGAAGCGGGGTTTAGGGTCTAGGGGTTTAGAGGTTTAGGGTTTAGGGTTAGGTTTTCCAAAAGACGGGTTGTCAAAACACGGGTTGAAAAAGCTTTCTATAGAGAGTTCTATATTCTGTAGGAGTTACAGTAGGGCTTGTCAGATGTTTGAGGTTTCGTTCTCGGCACCGCAGCCTCAGCCGACACCGAGCGAGAGCATCCTGCGCAAAAAGAGGGACCTCGTATTTGTGGCTTCTGGTTAGGCTTCGGGCTTGGGGTAAGTGTGTTGCAGTTGCGGGATGTTGCTGTCATTCTGCGATCGTTGCCTGTTCGCCTGATGCTCATATGCCAGGGGCCTTTTTCCAGGCTGTTGCGAAGGCACCCAGTGATATATGGGTAGTTCTCTACATTAGGGTCCCTTTTTGGGTCCCCAATACAGTACGGCACCCTTCTAAAAAGGGGTAGTTCTCTAAATTAGGGTCCCTTTTTGGGTCCCCAATATATTACGGCACCCTTAAGAAAAAGGACCCCTCAAAGAGTGGCTCAAAGCTCCCTCTCTCCGGCCCTTTGTCTCCACATTCCTGCTGCCAGCATGCTCGAGCCTCCGTTGCAACTAGGGTTGATGGTAGAAATCCTGCATCACCCATAATAAGGAACATACCATAATTCCCATAGTTTAGGGTCCTTGAGGTAATGCTGGATGTATATCATCAACTGTAGGGTGGATCGCTGTCGTTTGCCCCAGTTTGTCTTCGGACAACGTGCGAAAAGCATGGCAGGGCCGATGCTGTAGTATGCAATGCAAGTAGATTGAAATCCTCATCTCACAAATGTTCGTGTCAGTGAAATGCACATGTAAACGTTCACACCTGCAAACATACATGCATACATACATACAAACAAACACACATACCTATGTCTTAACATGTGCACATGAATTGACACGTGTGTATAGGCATGCGGTCTGCAAACATGCATATACGAACATGGTTACATACATGCATAGGTACATGCATACATAGGTACCGCGCACATACATGTATGTGCATGTACGTGTCCATACACATACACATGTACGTACATGTATACACATGCACATACAGATGCATGTACTTATGCATACCCGCATACACACACATGCATACATACATACATGCACGCAGGCATTCATTTATTTTGCATACACGCATACATGCATACAAACACGTACATGCATGCATACAAACATACATACATCCATACATGCATACTTGCATACATGCATACATGCATACATACATGTACGCGTACATGTACATGAGCCAGATACAGAGACCATCACATCCTTGACCATCCTGGGTGCCAAAAATTAACATTCGCCGAGACTGGAAACGTTCAGCCATAACCCCTTTCCGGCAGTCCGGTAGTGCTGTTCTAGGTCGGCTATTCACCCTGAGCATAATCTACACTCTACACTCTAACGGACGTCAGAAGGTTCCGATGTCTGGATCCCATGTCCGCGAAGTTTGCCAGCTGCCAGCAGTGGAAAATTCGCCTGTGGGTAGCACTTGCAAGCTGAGGAGACCTGGTAACCAAGTTGTAGGTCGACTTGTCAGCTGGAGTCACGATGGCCTTCGCGAGTCTGCTTCTCATTTCAGGTGTAACCCACTTACTAGCTTCCCATAAGTTCCCTGCTCCTTGGAACATACGTTGCCCTAAACCCCAAACCCCAAACCCTAAATAAAACGTGACCGTTACCTCCCCACCATCAAGGACCTGATCACGATCCTGTCCGCAGCCGGCCTGCAGCAGGAGCCTTGCATGTGCTGTGCTTTGTGAGGGTTCAGGGTTTCGGTTGGCCAGCTTAGGTTTTTTGGGGATATATGGGGTTTACGATAAAGTTGCCTAGAGGCTGGACTTCGACTAGGAGGGCACACTTGGCTTCGAACCCTAAACATTACACCCTAAATACTAAACCTGAAACAATAAATACTAAACCCTAAACCCTAAATACTAAACCCTAAACAATAGATACTGAACCCTAAACCCTAAGTTATAGACTCCGTTTGACCGGATTTTTCCAAGCTTTGGGGACCTGAAGGCCGCCAGGTGTGGTCGAGCCGGGGAGGTACCAGAGGCCCAACAAGTTGGTTTAGGGTTTAGGGTTTAGGGTTTTAGGGTTTTGGGGTTTAGGTCTTTGGGTTGTGGGGTTTTAGGGTTGAGGGCTTAGGGTTTAGGGTTTAGGGTTTATAGGGCTTTGGGTTTTAGGGCTTAGGGTTTAGAGCTTAGGGTTTTAGGGCTTAGGGTTTAGGGGCTTAGGGCTTAGGGTTTAGGGCTTAGGGTTTAGGGCTTAGGGTTTAGGGCTTAGGGCTTTAGGGCTTAGGGCTTAGGGCATTGGGCTTTGGGCTTAGGGTTTTAGGGTGTTAGGGTTTAAGGTTTAGCCCTAAACCCCGACCCCAAGCCCAAAACCCCGTCAGCTCGGAACATGAGACCCTGAAAAACGATCATGACCCTGGCCTGGCTTGATAGCGTATCATTTTCTGCATTGGCATGGCCTTAGGGTGACGTTGTTCTGGGGGCCAAGGATTTGTTTTTGGAAGTTTGCTGCTGCTTCTGCTGCATGGGACACCTTAATCCGTGCACCTTACGATCAAGAACCTTGCAGCCCACACTCTAAACCCCCACCGAGGGAAACCCACAGTCAGTGTTCTGCACTTTTGTGTCTAGAGCGCCCGAGGTTTTGGGGTTAGCTCCCTTTCCGGCCCCTGTGTTGCACCTTCTTGTCCCCAAGTTTCAGAAACGGCACCCCATAAACCCTGAGTATGCGCAGTTTGCTGAGCTATATTCATGATGGGTCCATGGGGGTAGTAAACAAAAAGACGTGTGTTTTGGGGTCAGAGGAGCTGGGAAATGCCTTCGACGGTCGGAGCTTGGTGATCAACGAGCAGGAGCATTTCACTCGTGGGTTTTGGTTCTGGGCATTATCAGGGCTTCTGGCTTGGATTTTTGAGGGATTCAGGGTCCCAAGACCGTATAAGCCTATAAACTTTAAACCCTAAACCGTAAATCCTTGAACTTGCTATGTAGGAGGGAAAAAACCCTAAACCCTAAGTATTATAGTCCTAGGTTTTTGTGTTTGAGTTCCTCGGGTTTCGAGGGTTCGCCTCTGCTTGGGCATATTTTCTGGCACTGGGCAGAGGGACCTCCGGGACCACGAGGCAAGCCCTCCGCAAAAAGGGCTTCTGGCTTGGTTTTTTTTTCGGATTCAGGGTTCAACGCTTTAGGTGTTGAATACCAAGCATTAAGGCAATTAAGGTAATTCAGGGGTTGAGGGTTTTGGGTTCTACTTGAAGGACCATGGGTGTGCAAGCACCCCAAGCCGGGTTGACTTATAGCCGTGTAGTCCCCCTAACCGGCTCAAGCGTAAATGCGAAGTAAAGCCCTGGCTTGAGGGCTTTGGTTCGGTTTTCGCACCTAAAAGGTTACCATTGAGCTGGGCTCATAAGTAGGAAAGCGAGACGTAGGGTCTCTTGAGATCCCAACATATCCGATTTCCTAGATAAGCCCCATGACCCTGCGAGTAAAACCGAAAACCCCTATGAGCCCCTGGCCTTGCCAACATCTTAGCTGTTTAGGGTTTAGGGTTATTAGCCGCCAAACAAAAACAGAGCCAGCAGGAGAGCGGAAGCCCCATGGGAGACGCGGCAGAGCAGGTGTCGGACACTTTGGAGGCAGGAGGGCAACCGAAGCTTCCGAAGCCTTCATGAGAGCTTGAAAAGCCAAGCTCGATTAGAGAATGTAGGTCGGAGGAGCATTATTTGCAAGATTAGGGGCCCCTTAGTCGGACAATTCTCCTATGTTGCACTAGGTGTGTTTTGGTCCTGAAACTTGTGTCCATCGGCGGAAGCATTTTTGGCGTGATGGCGGAGCTCCAGGGCCTCAAGGTCTTTCTTTTCACAGTGAGGCAAGGGTTTAGGGGCTTTTCGGGTTTAGGGGTTTAGAGGTTTAGGATTTAAGGTTTAGGGGCTTACAGGTTTTAGGGTCTGTGGCCGGCAGCGGTAGTTTTGGGACAGAGAGATACTATGGTTAAGTCGGCGCCACGAGATGTGCCAGTTCTTGATGCCAGTCTTTTCACGATCTAGGGTTCGTCGTCTACAGGACCCAGCCCTGGTTTATGCTTCCGGCCCAGCTTTCCCAAGATTTATTCTGAGCAGGGTTGGGCCTGCCCACGTCTTCTCCGCTCGATTTTGTCGTCTATGCGAGTTGCATTGTATCTTCTGCCGAGGTAGGCATGCCTCCCCCCTACATGCTTGACAGCTTTCGAGCATCGTCGTCATGCTGCAGCCCGAAACATAAGGATCCACACCCACGGGATCTCACGGTGGTCTGTGCATATATGTGGGTCAGGAAAGCGATCAGCTCAGAGAGACTTCGAGCTCCCTCGCCCCTGCAGTGCCCAGCTTGGAAGGCGCCGCCATGCCCCAGCAGTCCGAAGCAACACTTTTCTGGGACCTCACCGAAGTCCCTGCCGGCTGGCCCCTGGCCACCGTCATCGACGCCTTCGGCGAGTTGGCTTGTTACAATGCAAACGCAGACCTAGCTGTTCAGCTGGTGAGCTGGCGGCTGGTGGAGCTCTGGGCCTCGCAGCCTGCAGAGGGCCAGGCCTGGGTCCAGCAGTGCCGGGAGCGCTTTGCGACGGAGCTCGCGGGCAAGGAGACGAGGCAGGAGCAGCTCTTCGAGGCGCTGCTCCGGCACGGGGCGGCCGAGCACGGCAAGTACGGCGGCGGCGGCTGGTGGTGCTTCTCCGAGGCGGGGCTCCTGCGAGGAGAGCCGCTTGGCTCAGCGGCGGAGCGGGAGAAGGAGTCGGCTTGGTACCTGCAGCAATTGGATGCCCCCGATCGCTGCTGGGAGCTCGCGGAGCGGCTCGCGGAGGCGGAGAGCCAGGAGACGGCGCGGAAGCGGCAGAAGCTCGAGGAGGAGACCTCGGAGCGCCGGCGCCTCGAAGCGGAGCTCCACAAATCGCAGGAGGAGAGCCGAGAGCTGCGCAATCGCCTGGCTGTGGCGGAGGCGGAGGTGTCCGTCAAGGCTGCGGAGCTGCAAGCTGCTCAAAGCGAGAGTGAAGAGCTTGCTCACCGTGCGGCAGCCGCGGAGTCAGCTGCGGCGGAGATGCAGAAGGAGCTTTGGCGTGCAAGAAGAGCATGGCAAATGCCAGGAGCGTTGCCAGAATCTGGCGAATCGTTTGGAAGCAGCAGAGATTGAGCATGCCAAGATGTCGGAGCTTTTGACTCGCGATGCCGCTGAAAAGCAGCTAGGGGTGCAGCGGCCGCAAGAAGAGAGCTGCAGCTACCAGGACCGCTGCCTCCCGGTTTCGGCACCAGAGGGGAGCCGGGCTGAGCTGCAGCTCGAGAAGGCCGTTTTGCAGGAGAGGTGTGATCAGCTCAGGCAGCAGCTTGCCAAAGCAGAGGCGAAGGTGGATCTCCTGCAAGGTCTGCGGGAAGAGATCGGCATGTACAAGGAGCGCCTTCGTGGGCAGGCCGTCGAGGCCAAGAAGAGCCATCGCTTGGACGGTGGCACTTCCGGTCATCTCACCCAGAAACTTCGCACCCCAGCTCCCAGCCACGCAGCCTTAGATGAGGAGGAGTCGGATCTTGCCGAGCAGTTGGGGTACAGCCTTGTCGATGAGGATGGAGCCTCCGTCCTGAGTGGGTCCTCCGGCTACTCGGTTCAGCAGAACTGCTTCATGCTGGATGCGATCTTCAAGAGCCGCATGGACTTCTTCTGCGAGGGGAGGGACCTGCAGAAAGGCTCGCAGGTGGTGGCTGGCGATGGTAAGACCGCTTTGGAAGTGGTCGAGATTTCGAAGGAATCGCAGGCCACAGAAGTGGTCGACTTGCAGGCGGGCAGTGCAACACTGCGAGTGACCCCGGACCATCCCGTGCAGGTCCCCGATGAAAGTGGCAAGGCAGGACACCATCTGTACATGCCGGCGGGCAAGCTGAAGGCGGGCGACTTGGTGATGCTCGATTCGGGGGAGCCGGTTCCACTAATCATGGCAGAGGCCCGGCCCTTTGAGAGCAAGTTGCTGAAGATCGTTTTCAATCCGGACGTGCCGGTAGCTGTCTTCAGCAGCCCATCCTGCATCCTCAGCAAGGGCCACAAGAAGAAGCCACAGGCTGGGCGCCGTGGTGGCATGTGCCAGAGAGTCAAGGAGGCTCCCGATCCGATGGACGGAGCTTCGATTCCGGACACGGCGGCCGGGGAGTACATGGACTGAGCCCTCCAGCCGTGCTCAACATCGAAGCTGTGCTCAGAGCCTGAGAATTTACGGAGTTCCGCAACGCCTTTGCGGGCGCGACAGTCCGCAAGACAAGACACAGCTGCTTGAGCGAGGTGCTGCCTTTGCATGTCGGAGTGCAGCGCACGCCCTCTTGGCTTACATCGTCGTGATCATGTAGTTGGCATTGGTACGAGTTCATTTTTTTTGCAGAGCCAATCTGAATGCAGAAGCTGTCAGAAGTGTCGTTGGAAATACTCGGATGTAAGCTTTGATTCGCAGTGCCTGCACCATTTCGGTTCTTTTCGATTGTTAGTGTAGAATTTGGGCTCCAAACTTTGTATCCCTGCGCAGAAGGCGACAGGGTGGAGCTCCGGCCTTTTGGGAGGCAGACTAGTCTCGTTAATGTAGGGGCCTTCATAATTAGAATAGGGTTTTTGGGGGTTCCTTATTACAGTTATAGTATAATATACCCCCAAACCCTATTCTAATTATTAAGGCCACGGCCCCTACAGTACTCTTCGTTACAAGAGGGAAGTTATGAGAAAGAGGAGAACTGTTTTCGTGAGGCTGGCTTGCAGACCATTGCAAATACCACCTTTTCGGGGCCCTGCGGGTTCGAAAAACGGAATCGAGCTGCTCTTTGGAGTGTGAGCATATCTATCATCGAAGAAATCACCATGTGCTGGGAGGAATCGCATGTAGGGCCCCTTCTCGAGCATGTCATGCGGAGCATGAGCAAGCTCGCTTGCAAGACCTCCAAGTTTCAGTGATCGCGACACCTGCAGCCCGTGATTACAAGGAAAACGGAACCAAAGCAGTCTGCAGCCAGCGGCAAAGCTTCCCTCCTGCCACGTCTCCCGCCCCGACACTAAGAAGCCCCAAACCGATGCTGCGGCAGCCGTGGCAAACCGAAAGTCCCGCGCTCCAACGCATCATGTGGGGAGATATGGACGTGACTATTGACCACTCGTATTTAACAGACTCCTACATCTTTTTTTGCTCCCAAGCATGAAGGCACACCCGCTACATGCTGTCAGTAGTAACTCAGTAGTAGTTTCATGCTGTTATGGAGGCCATTGACAACACCTTGGCTTCCGGTTTGACCGCGGCCACCGGAAGTGTGGAGACGGCTGCCGAGCATCTGCCGCTCTTGCAGCAGTGAGTGTGCAGGGGAGCTTCATGCGCTTGTTTCCTTTTGAGCCTGTCGCAGTTGCAAGCACTCGGTTAAGGGTGTCTTCAAGTCATCGGAAGCCCCCAAACCCCTCAAGTTTAAACCTTTCAGAACCCCCAAACCCCGAAACCGTTACTTTGAGCCTGACCCATCCCCACACACCGCTTTTCTTCTTGCGCCTCAGGTCCAACATCTTCGATGGCGTCGAAACGATTCTCGGAGATGCTGCGTCTGCCCTCCTTGGAGGAAGCTGCAGCTCTGAGTCCAGTGAGCCCGCACCTAGCAAGTCAGTGGATTGAATCGAGCTACTTACTGGCATGCAAGTATCTCCAGCAAAGGAGGTGGATTCGAGACGTCGGGTTGGGAAAATCGGCCCTGAAGCAAACACTTATGGCTGTTGTTTCGGAGATTGTCAGAGCTAGGGAGAAAACAATCCCTCTACTTTGCTGTTGATGCTCCCCTGCAGAGTCTGATTTCCTGTGCATAAATTGCATTTGCGCGTGTGCTTGGGCACTGATTGCGCAAGTTGTCTCCCTTCAGGCTGCAGGGGAATCCTTTGAAGATCTTTGAAGACCAACTTTCCATGAGCTTTCGCTCAGCCATGCTGGTCTTTCTCGCGTGCGAAATACTCAGGGATCCCAGTATGATCAGGCCTATACTAAATTGAAGGAATGCCGATGTGTGAAACCAATTGGGGCTCTGGATGGCGGTGTGGTGTACAATCTTCTGCAAGTGAGGGTGTTCGGAGACAGACAGATTCAGAGATGGGCAGCTGTAGCTGAAAGGCACGAGACTCTCATTCAATCCCCGAAGCCTCAGACAGATCCTAAACTCTTGTGCGTAATCGTTCGGTACTGGGTGCAGGGGTACCCTATGTGTGGGTCCGCAGAAGTCATGATCCTACTGCTCACGGTCTGTAGTAGAGTCGCTCGCTTCGTGAAACTCCCAAATCAGTTTGTGCAGGGGTTCATACAGCTAAAAGCGCTCACAAGGGTCGGTAAATTCCTGCCACAGTGTCAGATTCAGGTTCGCTTCTTGGGCTTCGGGGCTTTATGGGCTAGGGTCCAAAGATTGTTCATGCCTGCTTCTCTCGTGAATTTTGGTTAGCTGAGGCCCGACATCCTCCATCATTCTGCGCTAGACACCTGATATTTTTAACTGCAAGCACTAAACCACTCCACTTCGATCTTCAGCTGCGAAAGCTAGACCTGTGGCCCCAAACCCGTACCGCACAATGGTGGATCATAACCCCATAGTATGGATGTACAAGTATTTGCAGCAAATTCGGCTATTTAATCCCGTAAGCGGGCCCATAATCCAAAGTTATAATCCCCTCAACCTTGCGCCCAAACCCTACGCCCCACAACTGACCTATACTTGGATGGGGCACAGCCTAAACCCCCAAAGCCCTAAACCCCAAAACCCTACAACCCTAAAGCCCTAAACCCTGAAACCCTAAGCCCTAAACTTTTGCAATAAGCCCATATTTGATAGAATTTTAAAGTTATTCCAAGTCTGTACCCCGGAAACTCAGGAGTTCTGCGAGGTAAAGCCGGGACTCGACAGACTACTCTACAGAACTTGAAACGCTGTATCATCGCCATCATGCTTTTTTTTTCCTGTTCACCCCCCCTGAGTGCGATTCTCTGAGTGCTATGACTTGCGAGACAGGGTGCTTTTGGCTCCAAACCTGTCGGCCAGTCATGCTTTGAAGCAGAGGAGTTTGTGGCTTCCTGCTTGATCTATCCAACCCTCTAGGGGTGGAGTTTCAACCGTCTTTTTTAACGGTTTTTTTACGGCTTCCGGGTTGTGCCGTGTTGGGTTTTGGAGCTTGAGGGTGTTCAAGTCTTGCAGGGTGCGTGCACGAACTTATCTCGGTGGAGACCTTCTATAGTGCACGTTGATTTAAAGAGCCTTGTTGCCGCAAGCTAGACTTCACAGCCGGCTGGCCAGCCCCCAATCCCACCTGATCGAAATCCCCAAACCATGCTGCACTCCTCTAGGCACCAGAAACCCCTAAACACCCCTAAACAGCTGAAGACCTTGGAAGGCAGTTTAGGACCCCTAAAATCTTCAAACCCGCAAGAACCCGAAGCCCTCAACGTCGACGACGGCGGTTTCCGCCATCTGCCCACACTTGGGGCTCCACATGCACCGACCATGCAGCCAGATCCGCAACCAGACCAGGATCGGGGTCCCGATGTCGTTTGTTTTGCTTTGCTAGTTTGGGGGGGCTTTGTTTGGTTTATGGTTTATAGGGTCGTATAGGAGCGACTTTAAAAGTATTTTGATGTTTTTGAGTATCTGGATTTAGGCCTCGCAAAGTGTCTGGTCTAGGTTCTCAGGCTTCTAGGACTTACGTGAGTTTTCATGCTTAAGGGGAGATGTTTAGGGTTTTGGCTCAGAGTTGAGTGAAGGTGTCCAGGGTGGGTATAGAGTTGGACGTATTGGTCCTTAGGACTTAGGACAGTATGGGGGTTAGGGCTACACTGTGCTTTGCTTCAGGAACTTTGTTGTGAAAACATACATACTTATCATACATCAATGCCATACATCCATGGCGAGGGCTTTGTATGGCAACTTCACCTACATTCCTAGGAACAGCGGAGATGCTCATCGTCTCTGCTCAGTGGCCTGTACGAAAAGCCCCAGAACCTAAACTCAATGAGGGCTGTGTCCTAGCCAGGTGGGAGGCAAAACAACTCGATATAGCCCTATGCTTTTTTCATTTGCGGGTTAACGGCTTGCAGGGTTTAGGGTTGATGAGGTCCAAACATACGCTCTTTGACTCCGAGTTGTGGTAAGCGCAGCGCTGGTTGTCATGGTTTTCCGGGGATGGAGCTCCCTGCCGAGATCTGGCACGTTTCTGCCCATACCTTTCCGTTTCGTGGCCTTGGAACCCCATACTAAACCCCAGACCCTGGAGCCCAACACACGAATATACCAACAGCCGTTATACTAAACCCCAAGGCCCCAAAATCTAAAGCTTAAAGCCCTAATATGCTACTTTGCCGTGGACTTGTTGGTGCTTGAATTGAAGTTTTGGTTGCCCCAGTCTAAGTCCGACTGCGTTGTGAGAGCGTAGTATACTGCAGTACAGATCCAAAACTAAACTCTAAACCCAAAGCGGCCCACAGCCCGAAACCCTAAACCGTGCAGCTGCAGGAGGCAACACACAACCCCTAAAACCCGACATAATCCCTAACCCAAAACCCTAAGCCAAAACCCAAAACCCTCCAAAGCTACATCCGAAGATAGTCCCTAACCCAAAAACCCTAAGCCCAAACCTTAAAACCCTCCAAAGCTACATCCGAAATCTCCATCGCCGGGCAGGCAGCTTCTCCGGGCACGCGTCGGCGGCCGCCGATTGGGCGGAGCTGGCCGTTGCTGTTGTCATACCCTGAGTGGTCCATGTACCCAAAAAGCAAAAACTTTGGGCCCAAAATACCCAAATTCAGGGCAAAATATATACTCGAATAGTATATATATAGTTTGGGCACAAAATACCCAAATAGGGATTACTTTCAGGGCAAAGTATATATTATTGAGGTACATGGGCTCGTAGGGATATTGAATTGTTTTAGGGCTTAGGGCCTCTAGGGCCTGTAGGTTTAGGGCTGATGGCAATGGGGCCTTTGTGGGTTCAGGGCATAAGGGCCTTCGGGGGGTTTGGGGTTGAAGGGTTTTGCAAAAAAGGGTTTAGGGTTTTAGGGAGCGCGGCTGCTGAAGGCACGAGTCCTCAACTTGCCTGTCTTGTTTCTCGCGTTTGTGCGAGTCCGGATGTACAGGAGGTGCAGACTCATTGGAGTTTTGGACATCCAGATTC